AATATTGCGTTGCAAAAATGAAGAAAAAAAAATAATTAAAAATAAGTAAAATAAAATAAAAAAATAAATAATTATACTGTGACACACTTAGTCAGATGTTAACACCCGCTTACCATGTACTAACCTAACGCATATATGTCTACCTCCACGCTCCCCTCCGTATCTAATACAAAGATACTTGAACAAACAAACCACTTCAGTTAATTCATTTCTTTTGACGGCCTCAATTGCATTGTGTTGCTACCCCACCTCTTGCGACGTGAAGTACACGTAACCGAGGCCGCACACACGACTCGTCTCTTCTTCCGCTTCTTCGTATACGCGACTGTCTCAGACAAAAATTTTATAGCTCGTCCCATCTGGCAAAAAAAATTAAGCCTAATTCGTTACAAGTGGACAAAAATGGGACACAAGAAATTTGAGGACTACCACATAACGAAGGAGCATATCAATGAGTTGTTAAATTCGCCAAACATAATTTATGAAAATCCGGACTTTTGGGACGACTTCATCTTGAACGCGCAACCGTCTCGTACGGAGAGGCTTCTGTATCGAATAGAGTACATGCGGGTAATTGGCGAGCATGAGTAGGAGAGTGGGCGTGAGCAAGAGAATGGGCGTGAGTAAGAGAGTGGGCGTGAGTAAGAGAGTGGGCGTGAGTAAGAGAGTTGGTGTGAGTAAGAGAATGGAACTGAGTTTGAAAGTTTTACACCCCTTCACACTCTCCCCATCTGCGCGCATTAATCGCTATAAGCGCATCCGTTGATGGCACTTTGCGTTGTCGGTGGATCGTGTACTTCCTTTCACTTGCCGTGCTCTTCGCCTGACACCTTTCCTTGCGCATCCATTTCGCATGCGTTGTCTCACCTTGACAACTTGATCCATTTTGCCCATTTTGCCCATTTCGCAGGACGGGACAGCCATATACTATAAGAGGACGCTGCGGGATTTCAAGAAGCTCTTCTGCTGCTTCTAATATGAGAAGGATTTGGCAGGAGCTCGGGCGCACAAGGCCCCGTATCTCTTCGCCTCCTCGTAGGCCATGTCTCCTTCGAATTTTCGATTTTGAACTTTACGTTTTTAACTTTGCCTTTTTGTCGTTACACTTTGATTTTTCCATTTTTGCCTCTCTTATTTATATTATTTTTTGGAACCCTTGTCACCGACTGATCTAACTTCACGCGGTGATGTCGTTCCCGAAAATGGCAGCGTGGACAACGTTAGGGGTCATTTCCTGGCTATTTTCGAAAAATTTATTTTTTTCTGCCCATTTTTATAAATTTTTTTTCGCCACAGATTTTGGCAGTCCCTCTGTGTAGGAAGAGTTATTCACCTCTTTTTATGTTGCGAAAGATTTCCTCTTGAGTTGAAAAGACGCACTTCTTCCCCCGCCGGGGTTACATATATGCATTCACATTCATTCACATGCATTGTGTGCAACTTTTTGTTTTTTTCTTTTTTTCGTCTAACCTTAAAACATTCCTTAGCGGAATATTAAGTGTAGTTAAGAAAAGCTACTTTGAAGCAAAACGCTCTATGCATAACTAAGGGCAAAACATTAGCCATGGTAAAGAAAGAGAAGAGGAAACTGCGCTCAGTTTTTTTAACAGCCCTTCTGACTGTTTTGCAGTGTGATCCAAGCCACGTATGATTACAAAATTTTCTTTTTTTTTTTCACTCTTTCGTGTGAGAGAAGTATGTCCAGTATGGAATGAGACAAACGTATTTTCAACCACCTATAGTGTGTGTCCATTCGGGTGGATACCCTATTTAGCGTTTTGGCAAAATGCATACTTTTGCAAACACTCCGGGTGGGTAAGCAGGTGCAAAAGGGGGAAAAAAAAAAAAAAAAAAAAGAGGACACTTCGCTGGAAGCACGACAAACTGCAACAAATGGGAGAAACTACGTCCACTGCACCTTATTATGGAACGTCTTTTTTTTTGTTTTCTGTCCCCACCTTACAAAGGCACATTAAAATAAAGCAAAAGAATATATAACGCCAACCCCACATTGACTGACGTTATTAGGCATAGCAGAAAATCAACCTTCAAACTTCTCCTGTTCCTACGTTCACATAAATGGTCGATTAAAAAAATGATGCTGACAAATGCAAATATATGAAATAGGAACAATAGGTAGGGAATGTATTTTCTTTTTACGACCGATTGGTATGGTTCTAACTCGATGCTTAAGTTGATAGAAGCAACCATTTTACCTTTGCGGTTTGTCAAATTAGTGAGGCAAGCTGGCTGGTCTGGTTTCGTCTACGTAGTCCTTCCTCACTTGGTCTTCCAACCTTGTATTGCTTCTGGTAACACGTGTTACGGTTATGTGGTGCACTCCTGCGGCGTCTTCTTCTTCCTCTTCAGAAGGGGTACGACGCGGTGAATCCAATTGGCGCAAAATGTACCTTCGTCGTAGTGGACAGAAATTCGATGCAGCGCTTCCTGGACGATTCGTCCTGGGGGAAAGCAGTCCACTCGAGGGGGGTGTACACATACCTTCACAATAGTACATAGATGCACAAGTACGTGTGTGTAGGAAGCCACTCTATGGAGCTTCTTATTGCGAAAAGAAGCAATCTTGTATGACCGCACTGTCACTCTGGTAACGGATCACTTTTTCATATAACTGGTGAATCCTTCCTTTACAACGGTCCCGCGGTCGTTCATTCTGTTTGCAAAAGGATTTATCTGTGGGGGGCTATCAGGCATGCCTTCCAGCGTCGTGCTGAGAATTGCTAACATGGTCAGCATTGCCAACATCACCAACGTTCCCAATGTCGCCAACGTCGCCACGAGAGGAGCTAAACAGTGAATGCTGCTGGCCGGCGAAGAGGCGTGCTCCCTTTAAATTTTCTCAAACATAAGAAGTGGGCCGTGCGCCGTCCGTAGCCTTACCCCCTAAAGTGGCATCACTGTAGCACACTTTGCTCATTTTTAAAAATTTCATTTGTCATTTTTTTTTTTTTTTTTTTTTTGCCGCAACTTGCCTGTCCCTTTCTTTGCACTGCATCAGTTTTGGCATCTCCGCCGATTGCGCACGGCCGGACGAAGTGACCAAAATGGGATGAAAAGAGATACCAGTTTGCGAAAAAGAGCGCTAATCAACAGTGGGGCAAGCGATGCGGAGAGGGAAATTCCCACATATATAAGTTTACCCTCGCCTATTTTACACGTTTAGCAGGCCTCCCATGTGACTTCCCCGGCGTAGCAACCAAATGGGGAACGAAGACTGGGCAATCCTATTTGGAAGAAATTACAAACGCGGGTAAACCGCATGATAATACCCCTTTTGAGTTATCACCATTTGGGAAGACCCTGCTTGATTCGGCTCCGAAGTTTAGCATTCCAACTTTACCAGGCCATGCTTACCACCACATGTTGAGCTCCTCATGTTTTTCGCAAAATCTCCAGAGGAGCACCCAAATCGCCTTTCCAAAGTTGACGAAACAATATGAACAACCGAAGGAGGGGTAGCGGAGCCCCATACGAGGACCGGAGGAAAGAACCTGGAGATAGCTCCTCCAGACATACCCAATCGGCTAGTAAACAGCACAGAAATGATGCCAGGGAGAGGAATAGCCAAGCCAACACCATTGACAACTTTGGAAGGAAGGTATGGGACAAAGATTATTACAAAAAGAAAGCGGAAGAGAAGACAACAAATGAGGAGGACGAACTTATTCTAAAATTATTACCTGAGTTGAAGCAAAGGACAGTGCCTTCTCCTCCACCTCCATCTGAGAGGAAGCTATTAGAGGGAAGGAAAGAAGTTCTCTCACTTGAAAAAAACCTAGGAAAGGTTCAAATAGTAACGGAAAAAACGATAAAACAAGAGCAAGGAGGTTACTACTGTAAAATATGTGACTGTGTGTTGAAAGATTCTCAGACCTATCTGGACCACATCAATGGTAAGAATCATAACCGAATGCTTGGCTATAGCATGAAGGTGAAGAGAGTGGCGCTTAGCGATGTTGTTAACAAACTGAACGTCCTGCGGGATGCGAAGAGGAAGAAGTCGCAGCAGGATAAAGTTCCTGTGGACGCCGATCCGGAGAGAAGCGTCAAAAAGAGGCTCCTCGATTGGCAGCAAATGGAGGACATGAAAGCGGAACGGCGGAAGGAAAAGAAGCTACTAAAAAAGTTGGAGAAGCAGCGGAGGGCTGGACAGGAAGAGGCCGGAGCGCTGGAGGAGGACCACCAGGAGGATGCCGAAGATGCTCAGTTAAGGAAGATGGGTCTGCCCACCTCCTTTGCCTGACGTGAAGCCATCCAGGTGATGTCCTTAAAAAAAAAAATAAATAAAAAGCGGAAGAATGCAGAGGCCAGTGGTCCATATGTAAAAGGCCGCGCCGATTCATATACACGGCATCGACGCTTTCCAAACAGCGCCATCCCAACAACGGCTTCGCCGCACCACGTCAGTACGAATGCTTCAAAATGATAAGTATTAACAAAAGAAAGATCAGCCAAGTCAGGAAGGATACACATCGGGCAGCGAGTTTATCCCCCTCATTCTTATGGAAAATTTTCAATTTATTTAACCCCTTTTCGCATTTATCGATGGATAAATCCAAGTTGTAGTCAATTCGATCCAACATAGAGCCTTGCTCCACCAGCATCACGGAGAGCTCTTTAAAAATGTGATGCAAGTCTATAACAGTGTTTGAGATCTTCCTCAAGTCTGTGTTTCTCCTAGCGATATTTACGCCACTGAGGTTGTTATTCCCCTCGTACGTTAATTCCTCCCGTTGGATATTTTCCATTTCTCCGACGGGGAAGTCACCCGCGTAATCGTTACACTCATTTGAAATTTTTTTCAACTCGTTTATGTATGCCTTCTGTTTGTTGTGAAACGTCTGTGATATCGATTTAAGTTGCGAGATTAGACTTTTTTTTGCGTTTATTTTTAGCTTTCCGATTATATCGTTGGGATCGGGGTGCGTCTCCTGTCGTTGATCTTGCTTGCTGCCATTATGGTTATCATCCTGCTGGTCAGTCAGCTCATCCTTCCCTGGCCTCCAGTCTGCGTCGTCCCATGCGATGCCCTGAATTTTACCCTCGCAATTTTTAATCAAAAGCGTTATTTCGGTGCACATTTGGGCAATTTCCTGTACGATCATCTGATCGTCGTGTAAAACATTTACTAGCTTCTTCTTTTTCATTTTTTCCAGCTCCATTAATTTTAACTTGATGTTTCCTATGTCCTCTGAGCATTCTTCTATTTTCTCAATCCACTGTGGTGGAAGTAGACTGTGCGCCTGCATCTCTATGTCTTCCGTAGGACTTAGCAGGTTCTCTTCCCTCCCTGAATCTTCGTCGTCCAGTTGTTCATACGCAGACAGCTTGAATCGGTTCCGCTTTTTTTTTATTTGCCTCCGGTAGTCGAAGTAGGTGTTTGTCACGTTTCTGTAAATGACCTCCATCATTGCTTCGTCTGATCTGTGTGTGGGGATGTCTCCCTTCCCGCAGCGAACGTAATCGTGTATTGGTCATCAACCCACGTATCACTGGGTTCTCGTGCCTTAATGTATGTTTAGTTTATTTTTTATTTTTCCTCCTGCTGACGCCACAACAGGGGCTCCACTAATGAGAAATTGAAGAAACTGGATTAGCCCCAACTGTGCCCGATTGCCTTGACGATGACCGGGGCGCCCTGTCCTTGGCGCTCACCAGGTGCCTTCCAGTCCTATTACACGCTGGGGGTCCCTGCGCATATGTGTAGTTATGTATGAATGTCCGCATGTGGATACATGGGTATACATACGCGTGCTACTCCCCTCTGGACGGTTCAGTCGCCTGCCCCTCTCGATTTCGCGCTGCTTCCGTTCACACGCACGTTAAGGACCCCCCTCGCATGTACGATTTTTTCCCATCTTTCAAATGGGTAACTTTTTCGCCAAGCACAAGTTTTGTGAAATTCTGCTAAACTTCTCCAAATTTTGACAATTTTGACAATTTTTTTTTTAACTTTTGCCAGTTAGCACTAACCCGCGGGAGGCAATAATCCCAACGGAATATGGATGACCCTGTTTTTTTTTTTTTTTTTTCAACGCAACCCTTTACCAACATAGCGCACCGAATTCACTGCAGCATAACGCTACGCGGAGAATATGCCGCCACGAATGGCTACCTCTAACCGTACAGTCATACTAAACCCGCACACAGTTGTAAAAGAGCCATAGCGCGCTACATCGGTAAAACTTAAATGTGGTACATAGTGAACATCCAACGAAGCTTTGCATTCCTTCGGCGTGCAGAGATTACCTGGCTCAGTTTTTTTATGAATCCATTAAGTGATCCTGACACAGTTCGCATCATTCGAAGCGGACGAGGAATGCGACCCACTTTGCCAACATCTCCTGCACATTGGCGAACCTTTTTTATATGCCCTTTTAATCCATTCAAGCAATTGCAGAGTGTGTGCAGGGAGAAAGCAGCGCACCGGGAAAATGAGAATCTGTCATTGTAGGGCAACAATTCTGCACGTGCCCATATGTGTAGATAATTGCCTCTCCATGGAGAGACAACCCCCCTCCCTCAGATAGTTTCATCAGAATAGCTATCAAAATACTGCACACCTATGTGGGAGCTATGGGTTAGTCAGATGGGACACCTGCACTGAGGGATGATGAGGGACGCCTCTTATAAAGGTCTAGCACCCCCCGTTTGGAAAGAAAAAGCAGCAACTTCCTTCTTGCCCTTTTAATTAAGATTAAAGGGAATATTCTTCCCTTCTTCGTGTCATCACAAAAAAAAAAAAGGAGGAACCTCTTTTACGGACTCTGTTGTATGTCACCTTAACTCCACACATACGTCTGTGAGGAGAACAACCGAGCAGCCATCTATATATAGAAAAGAAAACCAAAAAAAAGGTACCAATAGCAGTAAAAGGAACAATTAGAACTGAGACAACATGACACCCCCGACACGAGCGCAAAGCTGTAGGCGGTCAAATTGGAAATCTCCCAAACTGAATTGCTAAACCTTGGAGGGATTAAAAGTGGCTAAAAAAACGAGAAAACAATTCTGTGCAACTGCTGTTAAAGCTAGTCAATCACGTAAATTAATTGCACAGCGGGTATGGGGAAAATCAATCCTGTTTTCTGACGAGGATCCGAGAAATTGTTACATGCAGAGGGGGCCAGATTGCATTACATCCTTTGCCCGTACCTTTACTTTTAATCGTTACTTTTAACCTTTACTTTTATACCGTTAGCTTAACTTTTATCTGTACTTTTTTTTTCTTTGCCCATTTCCCCCTTTTTTTTTCGCCTGTCACGGTTAGCTCTTACCGAGGTGTGACAGCCTTTCAGGGAGAGATGTAAAGAAAAATATACACGTACTGCTGATTTTTTTTATTATTTTTCTTTTCCCCACACCTTAACCCCGCGGATTAACAGAACTGGAACAATCGGCCCAAAACAGAATCCTAGGCATACATCGTTAAGCCGCGAAATCCCAACGAAACGAACAAACACAAAAGCGACAACATGAATTCGACCACCCCAGCAGATGACGGCCTTGATGACAAGAGCAGAGCAGCGGTATGATTCTTAATGCGTGCGTGCCGAACAAATCTCATCGCGAAAAAGATCATATGAGTCCATTCGGATTAATGAGCGGGTCACGTGAGACATATTGAGACCTACGCGAATTAAACGTATTCTTGTTTACCCCTGCATAGAGCTATGTGCACCCCTGCTGCCAGAACATGTTTATGCGAAGAGTATCGCCCCTTCGGGGGGATACCATACTACTGCGGACGCAGCAGCGTTTACATGATGCATCCCCAACCTGTGTCCCCTTATCAGGTATTGTTAGGCTTACAAGAAATACTGCAGCGGCAAAAGGAAAACGTTAAAGTGATGGACATTTGCTTTAACAAGTGTGTCCCCAAAATAGGCCACAAGCTGAGCTCCGCAGAACAGAAGTGCATTTGGTGCTGTGCAAGTAGCTATTTCTACACCAACGTCTTTTTGAACGAGTTAGCCAAAATGGAAAAAAAAAAAATTAGAAAAAAGCCCTTTTTGTGTACCACCAAATGTGATACGCCGCACGCCCGTGGACATTTCCATGTACGCGTCAACATATGTACCAACACAACGTAACGCATGCACTCATTTTCCCCTCAGGCGGCTCCAACAAATGACGAAAATTCTCAAGTCGAGCACCGATTATATGAATTTGTAGCTAGCTAAAATTGTTATCTTTTTTTTTTTTTTTTTTTCCTGTTCATACGAAACCGCTTTTGCTGCGTTTTCTATTTTAATAATAAAAAAAATCATTTCATTCCATTTGCCAACATTTTCGTAATTTAAAATTGTTTTTAGCTTTTCCAAAACTGGGCCTCACATTTTAAGACTTGCATTCTGATACCACTTGAGGAGGTTTATCATCGTTGCAAGGGTTGCACGCGCATGCCGCTTCGGCACAGTTTAAATGGTTTACTATGTCTTTTCCGTACCGTTTAAAATGACGTAGGTAAGTCTGACCGACTGACCCCTACAAACGACACGTGTTCGCAAAATTGCCCCCGTCGTTTGAATGAAGAAGCATTATAGTTGTGTATCGGGGGGAAAAGGCTAGCCACCACGGATCCTGCGGCTTTAAAGCTGATAAAGGACATTGACGTAATGTAATAATAAAAAGAGGTTTCTCCCGCACCTTAGCAAATGGCAAAAATTCCTTCTTTCACCAAACTGTTTACGCGAAAAAATGTATTGCACTAGGAAAACATATCTTCCTACGCGGTGGATCGTGCGCGCACTGGGTAGGTCTGTCTGCACATGTGGCACAGTCAACACGTGATGATCAGCAAGTATTATGCATACCTCACCCAACCTTTTACTTTCTCGCGCGACAAAATGGGCATACCACTTTTTAAAGCTTCACTAAAGTGGAAAGAATTCCATCTGCGCTTTCTTTCTCTTTGGTTGATAGTTAGCATTCATGAGCAAACCGGCATAGCGATAGTTCCCACCCACCCAAGGAAATTTGTTAACATTACCAATGTCACTTCCGAATTGGTGAGAAGTGAACACGACCCACAGGACGCTGCCTTGATGCATACGCATACCAACTGTTTGCTGATCTTCCCGTGATCTACTTCCCCGAATGCAATGGCAGTTGCGTGGGTACAAAGCTATGCCACTGCAGCACATTTGGGTGAAGGAGCCAAAGGCACGTCAACCAACCCTCAACTTCCATCTGCACAGCAACCCCGCGGGGTGCTCCTAGCACGCGTCACCTTTTTTTGCCTCTTTCCGCATTGTGCAATTTGAATAAGACTACAAAATTGCATAATTTGTTTCACAAAGCAGCTCTTTATTGCCGACACTTGCGCGTGTACATGTGAGTGAGGATAACTGTGTAGTTTTCCGCAGCCTTATAGGCCTTACTCAAGCACAAATGAGGTGAAGCTTCGGGGTTTTGTTTTTTTTTTTTTTGCGCCTGGTAGGCATTGCAAAAGCAGTTCAATCTGAAGTCGCTAGTCGCATCGCGTAGTAGTTTACTCCACCCGAATGGGATATGTGAATTTTTTTTATTTCTCGCGGAAACAACAGCTTAGCACATTGCTTGCACGTTGCAACTGATTTCTACCACTTTTGTGAGAAGCCATTTTATGCTTGGCCACTTATGAACTGGAGGGCACATCCGAAAAGCTCGCACAAGAAGAAAAAAAAAAAAGAAAAAAAAGAAGAAAAAGGGAAAAGCGTAAGAGCAGTAAAATAACCACGCAGAAATTCATTTTAAGGCGAGAACACCCAAAAGAGAAACCCAAAGTTCTCTCCTTCTACCAACCTCAGGATAATAAAATGAATGAGCATTATGACGTAATACAATGAGGCGGAACAAATATGGGCGCACGACAAGCATATATGCGCGTCAGCGCACGAATCGGCACATTCGTATAAGCGTAGTGTGCTTCAGTGCTTACCCCTATGTATACTCTTCGTTGTAGCGTTATACCGTTGTATCGTTATACCGTTCTACCGCTATACTGTTCCATTCAGGACGGCTTCCGCATCGCCGCTTCGCTTAACGCCGCTGTGTGTGCAAATTTTGTTAAACGTTTCCAATTCACCTGAACGTTCATACAATTCTGCCAACAGTCCGCACACATTCTGTTCCGCAAAATTGTTTAGGTAATCATTCTGGGAACAGGACTGAAGGAATGCATTCTGAGCGGACTCCTCTCACACTATGGTGAAACACATATGGACACTGGTTCCTGTTCACGTGCATGTGGCTCCTTTGAGAAACATATTCTTTTTTCTCACATCACGATATCGCCTGAACGGGAAAAAAAAAATACCCTCATGTGAACTGCAAATTTGGACATATATTTATGCAGATACATGTTGCTGTTTCTCCCTCCTTCAGGAAAGAAAATTCTCGTGCTCGATAGAAACCCTTACTATGGCGGAGAAACGGCGTCTCTCAACTTAACCAACTTGTACAGCACGTTTAAGCCAAGTGAGTGCTGCGTCGAGCATGCGCCCGCTGTAACGCGGCAAACGTCTTGAGTATGCGCAGAAGCGCTACAGTTTTTGTAGCCTAGCAGGGGGAAGTTTTACTGCGAGGCCGCTCTACTGAACTGTTCACTTCACATCGCTCACATATCCCTGCCTACTTTCACTTCTCCCCTTCACCGCTTCGTTTCATCGCGTGGCAGATGAGAAGATCCCCAGCAAGTACGGCGAGAACCGACACTGGAACGTGGACCTGATCCCGAAATTCATCCTGGTAGGTGGGAATTTGGTAAAGATTCTGAAGAAAACGAGGGTGACGAATTACCTGGAATGGCTAGTCGTAGAAGGGTCCTACGTGTACCAGCACCAGAAGAAGGGGTTGCTCTACTCGGAGAAGTTCATTCACAAAGTGCCCGCCACAGACATGGAAGCACTGGTCTCCCCGCTACTCTCACTGATGGAAAAGAACCGATGTAAAAATTTTTACAAATATGTAAGCGAGTGGGATGCCAACAACAGAAACACCTGGGATAATCTGGACCCCTACCGATTGACGATGATGGACATATATAAGTACTTCAATTTGTGTCAGCTGACGATCGATTTTCTCGGCCATGCAGTAGCACTGTACCTAAACGATGATTATCTGAACGAACCAGCTTACAGAACATTGGAGAGAATCAAACTGTACATGCAATCCATTTCAGCTTTTGGAAAGTCCCCCTTTATTTATCCTTTGTATGGCCTGGGAGGAATTCCGGAAGGCTTCTCCAGAATGTGTGCAATTAACGGGGGCACCTTCATGCTGAACAAAAATGTTGTTGATTTTGTTTTTAATGAAAATAAAAAAGTATGTGGCATCAAATCAAGTGATGGAGAGGTTGCCTACTGTGACAAAGTTATTTGTGACCCCTCCTACGTTACGCATTTGAAAGACAAAGTTAAAAAAATAGGGCAAGTCATCAGATGTATATGCATTTTAAGTAACCCAATCCCCGAGACAAACGATATAAATAGCTGCCAAATTATTATTCCTCAAAATCAACTAAACAGGAAGAGTGACATTTATATAAATCTGGTTTCTTTCCAACATGGCGTATCACTTAAGGGTAAGTACATTGCCATCGTGTCCGCCACCGTTGAAACGAGCAATCCCCTAAAGGAGATCGAAAAACCGCTTGAACTTTTGGGACCTATTGAGGACAAATTTGTGAAGATATCTGACCTATACGTTTCCACGACGAACAAACCGGCCGATAACATTTTTGTCACGTCGTCCTATGATGCTACTTCCCATTTCGAAACCGCCACCAATGATCTTCTTCAAATTTGGGAAAATCTTTTCGGAGAGAAGCTGAACTTTGATGACCTAAATAACAAGGCGGAAAATGAATGACGCGCGTTTTTTTTTTTTTTTAGCGGCTCGTGGGAATGATTGCCGCGCTGTGCTACGTGTTGCGCGATGTGTTGCCTGGTGTCTTTCCTGATATGTCTTGTGATCTGTTCCATGATGCGTTACGTAGTTTTGTCCTCAAATGAGGGGATCTATAGTCCTCCCCCTCCCCTTCCCGCCGGTCTCACAAAAGTTTGAACTTTTTTCTCAAGTAAAAATTAAGCACCGTTTATTAATTCGTACAGTTGCTGGGGAACAGAAGGAGAGTTGCTTTCCTATGAAGTGCGAGGATAGCGATGGGGGATGTCACCTTTGAAAAGGAAAAAATACTACTCACACGAAAAATTGGCAGTATGATCTACCGAACGGTGCTTGCTGCTTCTCCAACGAGTACAGCGCCATTTTGCAGTTGTTACATAACATCCATTTAAATAGCAGACATGTAGGGGCATCGCACCCCCCTCCTACACCCTTTGCCCGAAGTGCATACAATAGACGCGTATACCCCTTTTTCGATGCGGTATGTGTTATCCTCTGCACATTTATTCAGTACAACTATCCGGGCAAGTGGAACAACTTCCACCTCGGTCATCTTATTCACATCTCAAAAAATGAAAACAGAAGTCAAACGGTTCAATTCGTACGTGGCTGTTTTTTTAAAAAAAAAAAAAAACGAAATGGTTACATTGTGTGAACATCCGCTGGGTGGTGCGTACAGATGAATATGCCTCAATGCATGCTGCGTAGGGGAAGGTAGCTGCGCGTGGTGGGTCTTACTTTATAAGCGCTTCTTTCCGAGCTGTGATGCGCTTCCGCTTAGTTCTAACTCAAGGCCTGCCTTCAAACGCGGTTTTTCAAGAAATCCCTAGCTGTTACGTAAACGCTCTGCCTCCATTCTCGTCGCTACATAAACACCCTTCCACTATCCTCGCCGCCACTTCCTAATAATGTGTGTTCATCCTGTTCTGCTTCTGCTGGTTCGAGTTGATCATCGGGTTGTGCACCTTCATGTTGCTGATGTTTATTCCCAGGGCCTTAATCATACGCACCGTGTCCGGCTCGACATAAATGACGTTGACATCTATTTGCGACTTCTCTGGAACGAAGTCTAAGCGTCTTTCTCTCTCCTCTTCTTGGAGCTTCAAACTGATACCTCTGACTGGTCCCTTCTGGATCCTCTTCATCAGGTGCGTAACAAATCCGGCAACTTTATTTTTCATTCGCTTCGAGGGAATGATAGCAACTTCCTCTGTTATCTTCTTGTTTATTTGAAAGTCCAGGGTTAGCTTGGCATAGTACTTTTCGACAATTTGCCTGGCGGCCCTTTTGATGGTTTTCGTTCGTACTCGTCCCTAAGGAGGAGAGAAGATAAAGTTGAACGTGTCGCGATTATGTTTTTTAATGCCCATGTGCAGATGGGAGGGGTTAACTCATGCGAGGGGGGAGCGAACAAATAAGGGAAGGAACTCCCCAGGCGGAACATTGACATACGGGATGACAGCAGAACGGTGAGAGGGCTTAAACGGGGGTTGACTTGATCAAAATGGTGGAATTGAGATTTTTCTCCTTCCTTTGATTAACCCTTCCCCGCTCTCTGTCCACCTTGCCCGCATTAAGTAGAACCCCACATATGGCCACATGTAACACAATCGCGCCAATCACGGCAATCAAGTAACAAATGGGGTTCCCCTTTTCGCAGAGTGACTTACCATTTTGCTTCTCCAAATGCGCGCACTCTGGTTTGTACAAATTTATTCTATATTATAATAAAAAATTCCTAAGAAAAGGAGAATGTCAATATCTTTTCTTAAAATTGACTCTTTCCTTGTAGCATTATTTTTATGCGTTAAAATATGCCTCATGGATGGTTCTTCCAAAATGTTACAATAAATATTTTTTCTTTTTTACACACGTTTTGATTGAACCCATTTGTCCCATTCCGACCTTTCCCTTTCGATCCTGTTTTTCCACAATAAATATTTTTTTTTTTTTTTTTTTTTTTTGTGCGCCAATGTTGTCCCCTTAATTTTGTAGGAAAAAAAATCAGCCAGCCACAATGTACACCATTTTTGTATTTTTGGAGGGGGAAGGATAACGAGGGGAGTGTTTTGATCGCCTGAGTATGCTCACAACGGGGGTGGATTAGTATATACTTCCTAAACGTTCATACGCTTTGCGCTCGGGTGTTACGGTAAGAATGCACTCCAAAGTAAACCTATTATCAGTATACATTCGTCCTTAAGTAGCAAATAGAAAAGTAGTGGCACGTCAATTTGTATGACGGTACCCCAATCACTAACTATACAGAATAATACACCCATTATGTTGAACATTCTTTTAAAAAAAAATTATGAACCGTTGAAAATTTTTTTTTTTTTTATTAAAACCCCCTTGAATTATTACGTACTTTTTTTTTTTTATGTGCACAGGGAAGGCAAAAAAAAGAAGAAAAGAGGGGAACAGTTTAAACCTCTTCAAAAAAAAAAAAATCCCACAGAGGGGGAGTATTATATTTACCTATCGAGTACGTAGCGCACGTATAAGTTTTACCCCCTATGCGCAGGTCCTCTATTTTTTTTTGTGCGTTCCTCCCCAATTCGCTGGAACATTTTCTATGGGAACAAATGTGACAAAATGGAATCACCTCAGGTTTCCCCCCTTCTACGAAAAAAATGGTTAATAGGAAAGAAAAAAGGGACGATTTAACCCAATAAGAAGAGGGGTACCACATGTCAACAATTAAAAATAGAAGAGGTACGCATAAAAAGTGGTCATGCGCCCATGGGGGAGAGCAGCCCACTGAGGACATATTCGAACTGACGTGATATCTGTGTAATGTATTTTACATGGTTGTTCTTTTTTATTTTACTTCAGAAATAGCAACTCTAGGTGAACTTCGAATGTCCGGGGGAGGCATCCTTATTTTTTTTTTTTCTTTTGGGACCCCCTTTCCCTCCCAATGGGAGATCCGAATATAATGGAAAAATGAGAGGTGTGCTGCATTGCCCACACTTCACATCAATTTCGTGTCACGTGGTTGCTTCAGTTGGGTTTCCTCAATTCTATATCTCCACACAACATCGTTAAAGTTGTCGTTTCTTTCCAGATACCTGTAGCACTGCATATGTAAAAACGGGGATAATGATAATGAAATTTTAGCAACACATATTTTCCATAGCGTCCAGTTGATAATTAATTTGGATGCGTTCGGAAAGGGAGAGACGATGTTGCACAGCGTATGGCACGCGCTTTTGTATACACTCTCACGAGGATTATTCCTCTGGGCGTCCGCAGAAAAAAAAAAAAAAAAAAAGGAGAAAAATAGCCACGGAGGAAGCATCAAATTGTGGGTTTGTACTGTCCACCCAAGATGACACATTTTTGCGTCTTGCGTCTCCGCTGTGGAGCATAATCCCACCATACGGGTACACATATATGTACGTGTGCCTTCCCTTGCGTGGCTCACCTGCACTTCCTGGACGCGCTGCCCATTGAAGGAGTAAAGCTCCGAGAGGAAAATCAAGACATATTTCGATTCCTCCGTCAATTTTGTCAGCTCTTCTTTCAAATTAAGGAGTAGCGGAATTTCGAAAATGTCCGCCACATTATTTTTCTTTTTTTTGTACAGATGGCTATACATGAAAATGACGCGAGAGAGGTACTTGAAAATGGCCTCGTTGTGGGGGAGCTGCTTCGCATAATTTAAGCAGAATTTAATTTCCCTCTCCATTTTTTGTAACCTATGTGTGTATTTCAATTTGGTGAATATAAAATATCTGTACACCCACACAGAATTGTTGTAAATGTCATGTTTTAAGAAATAATTGACAAAGTTAAATTCATGCGATATGATATTACACTGTTCACGTAAATATTTATTGTTAAAAATGCCTAATTTATCAATTAGCCATGTTTTGTGTGCCCAGGAGTTGTAATTCTTTGCGTCCAGAAATATGTCGCAGTTACTGTAAAGGATTTCTTCGTATAAAAATTCGTCTATGTTTATCCGCTCCCCGTTTGGCCTCAACGCGTTTTTGAAAAATTCGCAACTTTCGACGAGTTCTTGCAAATCCTCGCGAATAATGACGACATCTTTTTCCGCCTCAAAGTCTGTCTCTTCGCAGTTGCTTAAAAAGGCGTGTTCCTCATGGTGGCTCTCTTCTGCAGGGGAGCCAGGACTGCCACGACTATCGCGGATACTGCTGCCATAGGTGTCATCGCTCCCATCGCTGCTGATGAAGTTTCTCTCGTCGTCCAAGTCGTAAGTGTTCCAGTCGATTTTGTACCCCCCCAAGTTGCACTCCCCTCTGCGATGTGCTGCACCCACGGAGCCGCTACCGATGCGCTTCTCCTGATTTCCCCTCTCCGCCTGCCCCCCTGGACGCTTACCTCCCCTTACCAGTTTGAAAATATACTCGACCAGCCACCTCCGGTGAAACCAACTCTGGAAACTCTTTACATTGTCGCCTATGGCACACCTTGTAAAGAGCAATTCATTTCGCAAGTTCAAATTCAGTTTGCGCAGGCACTTCCTCCTATACACCCACGCAGAGTAATAAGAGGGGTTTACTTTAATAGCAAAGGTGGACATAACATACCCCTCAAAGGAATATTTTTTTAACTCAATAAATGAAGCCAGTGAGGAGTAAACCAACTGTTCCGTGTCCGTATAGTACGTACTTAGTATCTGCACCTTCTCTTTACTTTTTATATTTTTTTCATTTTGCATGTCCACTGAGAATTTCTGCCTTTCCCTCTCCAGTTGAACCATGTCAATGTGGATGTTCCTTTTCGGCATCAGGTTGAAGAACGGCGTATGGAAAAGGAGGCGAAGATCAAATCCATCCAGCTGCTCGGGGTACTCCAGCTGGAACTTCTTCGCGTATGCCCGTTGCTGTCTCTCCATGTTTCTTCCTGCCAGGGGAGGCTTCGACACCGCTTCAGGTATCTTTCTGCTACCATGTGACAGTGCTTCCGAAGTTTCTCCTTTAATGAGCTTGCACGATCTGTACCCCACTTGCAGAAAAATTCACCGAGTTTAGTTAAAAACGGCTAATTGGGGCCCATCACCGGGGGGAGACACCTCGGAAAGCCCGATCGGTTGGTCATTCCACTGTACGCAGCAAAAAGAAAAAAACGAGCACAAGGGATAATGCCAAAATGGAACAGAGGCAAAACGGTACAGCAGGAAAATAGTACAGCGGCGAAATGACAAAAAAAAAAAGAAAAGGGGCAAATTTCCACACATGCACGTCCTCCATGCAGTACGAAACATGCCACGCGAGAAACGTCGGCAATTTTCGCAAACGGGCAGATGTCACGAGTACGGATTTGGGTAAACCTTGTTGAGAAGTCCCTTATTATCTGGCCACATTTCCTTCTCATCGGCATGCTTAATGAAGTGCCTTCTGTATGTTCTATACTTTTCTTTTTTTATCTTCTTTTTGGTTAATTTGTCAATGAAGGAGTACCTCCGTCGGAGATACAATGGGTCGATAAACCTGTTTCTGATGGAAAAAGTGTTTTGTAAATGTTCACTTTGGTTTAGCAAATCCAAAAAGTGATTTTTTGATCTTTCGTGTTCCTCCATTTCTGCTTGGGTTTTTTCTTGGCGCTCCTCCAGTCCTATGTTCACGTCACAGTCTATGTAGTGCAGCTTCTGGCCCGTCGTATTTACTTCCTTCCCACAATTCAATCGTGTGAGCGGTTTATCGCCATCCGTCGGGGCATTCTCCCCAAGTATTATCCTCTTAAATGATAGTCTTCCCTTCGTTCTGGCAAAAATTATTTTGTCATAACTGTTCGTGTGTGCTGTTACTTCTTCACATACGTTTTGGGCCATCTCACTTTCTTCCTTCTCTTCGAGTATCACCTTTTTTTCTTCCAATTTGCGTGACCTGTTCACGTAATTTCTGCTTTCACTTCCATCTTGTTTGCAAGAAGGAGAGTCCCCGAAATTGGACTTATCCCCTTGTGTTTCCCTGCCACTTTCCCCTCGCGGGCTAAACCAACTGAATTTGTGTTCGTGCAAATTTAACTCTCTTAAATCATCGGGCGACAACGCACGTTTGTGGTGGTACTTCTCTTCGTGTCGGTACTCCTCTTGGTGTTGGCTCTTCTCCTCTTCTTGGCGTTTATGGTCCGGGAAGACGGTCAAATATAGAGAGTAAAAATCTTTCAAGCTTTGATTTTCGAGATACAACTCCTTTGGTATCTTTGCTAAAAATTCTTCCACCTTGTCTTTGTTCTCAATTATGAGGTTAATGCATTTTTGCAATTTAATTAAGCTGTCGTCTGTCTCCTTCTTTTTAAAACGCACGGTCTGCATCCTCATGTACTCCTTTAAGTTAAAATCGAGGTGTAAATATTTTGACGGGAAATAATAATTTTGCATGCTTTTCCCGATTAGTGGTTTGATCCACTGTTTTTCGCCCGGCATATTTCCTGCGTACCCGAATATTTTCTTTCTGCATGACTCTATTCCCTTCAAGCTCCACCCTTTGATGTCGCCAACGCTTTTTATCTGGCATATTAAAATCTTCGGTTTGCTCATTTGGGGATGGGACGTCGGCCTCCCACCTATCAGGAGTGCTGCCAGCCTATCGGGGGGTTTGTAAGCCTATGGAAGGTCTTGCCAACTTGCAGGGAGTTTCACCGCACCTTTGGAGTCTCACTCCTGTGGGGCCCAATTGAGCAAGAAGTTAGTATACCCTTGTGGAGGTAACCCCATGGAGGAGGAAACTGTGGCTCTTATCATGATCAGATCGTGTCACGCGATGAGAGGTGTGAAACGGAGACGCAGAGCTCATACGTGATATTTCCGCACATTTGAAAAGTGAGTTCCGCCGCAAGCCTGGTGTCACATGAACGGGTTTAATTTTTCAAAAAAAAAGAAAAATGTCAATTTTTACTTAAAAGGACAAGGTTAACTCGTCCGCAAAAAATCAGCAAGTTGGCCAAAATGATACACATAAATGCGCAATCATTCACGCGAACTGGAAGATGTGGGGGGCTCCCCACAAATGCTATCTCACGGTCCCGTATCTGGAATTACCCCGAGGTGCATACATTTCACGTGGCTTTCTCAAGCGCACTTGCTGCTCAAACATTTGGCTTCGTTGCGCCAGCTTCTGGAGTGCCGAAATGTGGTCTACTTCGCCGCTTCCCTTTTTTTTTCCGAGTTACGCCCTTTCTTTAGCTTCCCCCATTTGAAGAGGGGACGGGCTGTACCCAACATATTCCCAACACGCAGTGATCATCCCTCCAGCTCTAACCGCCCTGCTTCACATTTATGTCGCGCAATTTTTTCTGGTACACATTCGAAGTGTGTTTGATTTTTTTTTTTACTCGCTTCTCCGTGTAGAGCAGATTGTCAAACTCTCTGTTATAAGTTTGCAGGCAGAAGTTTATTCCTTGCCGCACGTTTTGTAAATCGTTATCTTTCACATGATGTATGCTTATGTAGGAAGTTAATTCCTTGTTCACTTCGTTCATGTCGAGGTCAATGTTTTGTACCATTTTTTTTAATAGCTTATTTTTATTTTTTATTTCTTCAAAATAGCCTTCAAAATAAGGATCGGCATTTTGGTCATACTCATGTGGGAGTTCCTCAAACGCCTCTTCCACTTGAGAAATTTTTTCCTTTGAGTTCTGAGCAAACTCTTTTAAATTTTTTATGTACATATTGCTTTCGTTATAAATTAGCTCCAAGTTTTTGAAAATTACAAAGTCTTTGGAGTAAAATTTCAGGTCCTTGTTGAGGTTTTCCCTGCGTGTGTATGTGTAGGTTGTTGTTGGGGGGGAAATCGATACGCTGGTGTGCATGTGCACATATGTACGGAGCTGATCCGGTTGGAATAGTCCTCCAGATACCTCCATCCGCCTAAGTGCGCCCATTAATGTTGCCTTTCCATTGGCGCATACTTTTTTACAATCCGTTACAGTACCTCTTAAGCTCCAAGGTACCTATCTTCTGTGTCATGTCCAAATTCTGGCTACTGTGGACGCTGAGGTCGTTTTTTATTTCTCTGTCCCGCCCGTCCAACTCGTTAATATTGCTCTTGAGTGATTTTATTTTACCAATATTTTCCTTGATTTGTTCTATATAATAATTTCTACAATTTTGAAGCATGTCGACATGGATTTCATTAATGCTGTTAATGTGATCATTGTAGAGGTTGTTTAAATAAATTATTTCGTTTCTTTCCATTACGTTGTAATTATCAATCATTTCATCCATTTCGTCTTTCATGTCATGTTCGTATTCTTCCAAGTATTTTTTGAATAATTTCTCCATGTTGCTCATTTTCTGCGGGACATAAATTTGGAGGTGAGACCTATATCGTGTCCGTGTGCACGTCGTCAACGAAATGGGAGGTATCACAATAACCCCTGTCCCATGCAGCACACACGTATGAATGGGCGCTCTCTTTGGTTTTTACCGCCACGGCGAAGAGCCGGATCGATTGTTTCTAATCGCTTTTGTTAAGATCGAGACAAAGACGCGCGTACCCCGACCCCCTGCTTGTCATCCTTACCAAATCGAAGGCCGCATTCAGGTGGTCTATTTCCTCGAAGTTTCTGTTTTTCACGTGGTCCAAGTTGACTCGTTGTTGATTTATGAAGTTCACCAAGTTATTCATCGTCTGCTTGTGTTTCTCCTCAATCAGGATTTTTATATCTTCCTTTTCCTTGTCCAGTTTTTTTAACTCGTCTGCATTTTGAAAATTGTAAAACACTGATTTGTTTTTAATGACTTTTGGTTCTGCCTTGGTCTTTTCTCCATACTTTTCGCAGCCCCGGCTGAGGAAGTCTATTTTGCTTTTCAATTCATGGTAGTCCTTTTTGAAGAGCTCCAATTCGTTCTTCTTTTCTTCCTTTGGAAGGGTGAAAAAGGGGTGTGTCCCGCGGTTGAAATTTCTGCAGTCTCGCCTTGTTCATGCGTTTCTGCACTTTTTCTCTTTTTTTTTTTTCCTTGACATTCACGCATTTTGCACTTTTCTTTTCTTTTTTTTTCAGATTAGCTAACCAATCTGCTCTCCAACAAGCGCCTCCTTTGAACTGCTCTGAGCAGTTCCTCCCTTTGTATTTTGACTAAATTTTCGACCTCCTCATTTGATAGCTTCTGCGTGTTACTGTCTTTGCCCTTGATGCCTTTTTTCTTTTTGCTTTTTGGTTTGATTCTATTCATCACGGCTGCTCGCGGGTGGTTTGCTGTGGTTTGACTTAATTTGTGACTGTTCACTCTGTCGCTTCTTACTGCTTCGTCCCCGTCTGACACGCCCGCAGCCCTGTCTTGGGCGCGGAGCTGAGACGGTTGGTAACGCTATAATTGCGGTTTCTGCCGGGCAAGGAGGCTCGCGTCGTTTGCCTGAAAAATGGAGTAAAATGCAAAGGGAAGATTCCCAATTAATTTCGCCCTCTGCATGTATAAGACATATACCTGCATGTGGCACATATCCGTGATCCCTATTTTAAAATTTCCCGGATGAACAGAAATGGGTAAAGACGCACGGACGAGAAGGGAGACCTTCATAAATCGTCAAAACACGCGCGTGCACACAAGAAATTTCTAGGGAGAAAAAAAAAAGAAGAAAAAGGAGAAAAAATAAAAATAGAAAGAAAGAGAAAAGTGAGCTCTACGCTAGCATCTTTTTTTTACTTGCATTTATCGGGCGCGTACACTATGCGTAATCATTATTGAATTTGCTGAGGGTGGAAGAATCACATGGAAAGATGCGTGTAGGATCTCTTTTCTACGGAATGTTCATTGGAGTTGTAATAGCTTAATATTATATGTGTACCATGAGGGCGTCATTTTTTATTTTTCTTCACAATTTTTTTTACAGAATTACATATGTTCCTATGTGAGGGTTCAGGCAGGGGAAGTGATCAATCTTATTATAGAGTTATCTTCCGGCAGGAGCGAGGTTAGGATTAGTTCTATTAATGCGTAGATAGTCTACTCCAGCCCCAATGTTATTCTAATATAGAGGAGACATTTTGAATCCTTCCCTTTTCCGAAATTGCATGAGTTGACTGATACATGTGGGTTTATTTCGCCTTCTGGCTTCACTTACCGTGTAAGATATGATATAGTAAAGAAGCTATATTTATGGAATGTTCAATTTCAGCACAAAACACTGAGATAAAATTGGTGCATCACACATTTGAACAAGACGAGGCCTTACAATAAGCTGCTGATGAGCTAAAATAAATTGTAGTTCCCAATATTTGCTTCCGATTATGTAACAATGTGACCGTTATTTCTTGTGATGCCATTTATGTCTACCTTCATATATTTATAGATACGGCGCAGCATTGTTCCTGTTTTATTTTGCATCTTTTATCCTGTTTCTCCTTACACTGAGGTTGTCTTACAGAAAATTCTGTATGGACGTAATACATAAGGATGTAGAGAGATATGATATTGGAGGAGGGAATACGCAGCTTGTGTGAAACAATTGTAAGGAGTTTAACAAAAAAGAGTATGACACTACCCACATGAGGAGAGAATAATTAAAGTAAACGGAAGCATATGAAAATAATACAAGAGGAGAAGTTATAAGAAGTAAGAATAAATAAGAGTAACTAAGGAATACAGTATTAAGTGTTTTAGAGTCGTTTACATGAGAGGATTACCTCCAGCAAGTGCAGAAGGAAGCTGTAGGAATTGAATCTTAATGAAGATAACAGAAATGGTACAATCCCATAACAGGGGGGAGATAGTGTGACATTATGGATAAATAACGACAGTGTAATAAAGATATAATAATGAGGAAGAGGGATACACTAGGTCTGTCTGGCATGGAACGACTGAATACAGCACGGCCGCTTTATATAATAACAGAGGAAGTCACAAAGCCAAATTGAGAAATGGAAGCTCTTACAACGCAAACGTTGCGGATAAATAGTACGTGCTATTAACAAGCAAGGAAGAAACAACTATAGATGGAAGATTTATAATAATTAGGGAACTTAAAGGAACAAGTGAATGATAAATGCAGACTGGGAGAATAAGGAAAATTAACAGAAGTAGTCATTCCAAGAGAGTCTTACACAGACATTGTGCACAAATACATCCATAGGGCTTTAAAAAGCTGAAGGCATGGTAGAAGTTTGTGGATTTCAAAATGTCCGTAAGATCCATAATAAAACTGGAACACATATAATAAGGAGTGGATAAACGCTAAATAAGAGACAGAGAAAATCGCTGCGTCCAATAAGAGGACAAAAGTGTAAAAGGGCAGGAAAGATTTGAAAGGACCAAAGGAAAATTATGAAGCAAATGTGCCTAGTATGTGCGTCCAACTACAGAAATTTCACGGAATGGCTAGGAAAAATACCAAACGGCAACCATACCAATGAGCGACAACATATCACATGAGAAGAAAGTAAATTAGACAGAATAATAAGAGGGAATAAAGAAAACAGGCAAGAACAAGCAGGCCGTGTTATGCAAAGCCCAGTATAGGATGCATATTCAAGACTTGAACAATATAATAAACAGCAGAAGAATTGAAGCAAAAAGGAGAAATCTAAAGTAATATAAAGGGGGAACCCAGAGAACAATCAAGGGTGAAAATATTAGTACCTAGGAGGCGACAGCTGAAACAACCAAAATGAAATATTCCTAACACATAATGTGCCATATGAACAGAGAGGAAATGTCTCTTGGGGAGTATATATGACTACAACATACAAATGTCAGTTCAAAAAATTTGCGATGAATAAAATAAAATAAGAACATATGTATAAAGATAACGCAGAAATAAGAAACATAAAATAAGAAGAAATAGGCAAACGTCAAAAACAGTAAACAACAAGGGAACAACCCTCCCTTATACGGGGCTTATAGGACTAAAGCAAAAAGAGAAGCCCAGATGACGGGATGGGCAACACTGGGAATAAGAGAAGATGTAGTAGGTCTAAAATAGAGGATGATATCAGAGGAGGAGCCTCCTATTCAGCACAGGATCGATATATCCGAACACAAATATTCCTATAACACCGGAAACTGTTATAATATCGCATCAGCAACAGATCATTACATAACATGGAGAGGGGGCTAGATACAGCCGGGCTAAATAAAATAATGAATCTGGAAAATATAAAAGAAATAAAGAGGGCGTGCATGATAGATGATAGAAACAAAGAGAGGATACCGAGGCAGAGTGTCACATACCTTCTTTAGGGGCAACAGAGCAGAATAGAAAGTGATCGCGTACTCTGCAGGTAAGGGACACCAATATAGAAGCACCATGGGAGGGCTTGAATTTTGAAATAAGATCCATACGAATGAAGGATCCTACAATAGGAGAGGGGCTTTATATTCATAATACTAAAAGAAATCCAGAAGGAATATAATAACACAGGCCTTTACGGGACCGCAATGCTCACAGGAAGATTGAAACAACACACCATATCAGTAAGCCAAACAACCAGTACAGCAAATCCACAGAAGAAGAATAACTTGTCAGGCGAAAGAAATAAGTAAAAATGTCAGAACAAATTAATGATGAATACATACGAGAGTACACCAGGCTAAGAGTTAACAGAGAATAAAGGAGAATCGTCAGAGAAGCTATAGCCGTGTAATCAGTGCAGACGGCACTGAATTAGAATAGAGCATAGCAATAATCAAGGGAAAACAGATGATGAATAAAAGAAGAGAGTAGCTATCCAGATGACCACTGATGCACACCACAAGGAAGGGGGAATCAGTGCCTAGATAACGTCTAGATGCGGCATCCAACTCCATAGGAAGAGATATATGGCAAATATCCGTGCAGAAAAAACCCGCTGAAGGCAATTTCTTGATCATACGAGCGTTTATAATAATAGGACCATCAGAAGAAATAGCTGCAGGAGACGACGCATTGTCATACATACACTCAAGAAAGGGAAGAGAACGCGCGAAGAATAAGCTACATAAGGACCCCAGGGCCTTCGCATATAAACAGGAAGAGTCAATCACGCCAGAAATTGCGCGGGAGCGCATGATCCAAATACAAAACCATAGGATGGAATTAACGAGAAAAGTCCCAAAAGCAGGCCCGTAAGAAAATTATAAAGCCTATAATGTTGCGAGAAGTTAGAAATAACCCTTACTTCCGCTATCATCAGGAGCCTGAAGTATATGATAGTACAGGAAAGTTCAGCAACCTGGGGAACCATGGCTAAGTACATATTACGAATAAAATAAGTTGATGAATAATGGACTAGGATGCATAAGTGTAAGGGGCATAAACTGCCCCGCCTCTTCATAATTTTCTCCAAGGAACATGAAGCGCCTTAGTGACTGACCGAAGTCACGGCATCGTCTCCAACAGAAAACAGTTATACTAGGTCATAGGTTATGGGGCAGATAATTGTTTTATTCGCATTTAAGTGCTTCTACAAGATATCAATTATAAATGGGAAATTTGACTTCAACAGGACGGAAGCATATCAGGTGGGATCTCCTGTGCCGTGAATTCTGGGAGAGAATTAGCACAGCAAAAACTGATAGGACTAATTATCCGGACGTAAACTTCCTGCTTCAAGAGCTGGCTCCGCGGGATCATGAGAGGGATTTCAGATACATGCTTCTATATCTACAGAGCTATGTGAAGAGGAAAACGTTTAAAGGGCAAGAGGAGAATCTAATAGCTCAACTGGTCAACTGCATACTGAACGTGTGGTTTTGTGCCGGGGTTGCTAACCCATTTGTTCGTTGGGAGAGAGTGACACATGCCGTAGGAATAACAACATCTTGGGAAAAACTACAGAATACAGTAAAGACAGGAGCCTGTGCCGCTATTCAGCAGGCTCCCCCAGGGTTCACGGCATCAGGAATATTCTCCCAAACCTGTCCCTCAAGCGTGAACAGGACTAGTAACTTAAATTATGATTGCACAGGTTACTTTATGGGTGCGCGATTAAATAACAGGGCGCCTGATTATAGGAGGAATGATTGGGTGAAAATAAGAGACCTTAATATACCTCAAGGAGAAATTAGTGTCTGGTTAAAGCCTCTACCTGTAATCCCTCTCTTAATCTTAGCCGCCTTTATTTGGAATGTATGGGATAAGGAGTGCCCTGACTCGTATTTCTCCAGGAGGCGACGGTAATGAGCACTGGGAGCGTCAGGAGGGTAGAGACAGACAAAGAGAGTCCATTACATGAGCACGCCAGCATGAATGATAACGCCAAATATTCACTATTATTTCACTCATATAGTTATATATTTACTCACAAGGATGCTGGATTTCAACTGAGAAGAATTTTTCGAGGGATGCTCAAACAGCGTAATCCGAAAGCAAAAAATGGACCTCCTAATATTTATGAAACCGGTGATGTAGCACGAGGGATTCTCTCCTATGCAGCTGGCGTAGACATCTAAAAGCAGGAGCAGGCCCTGGACACATTCCACTACAAGATTTGTCATATTCTTCTCTAATATCAGCAAAATAGATACGGAAGAAAACATAGGGACAGTTGGGGGTACTTTTCTGTATGTTGATTGCGTTCATGCTTCTTCTTATCTGAAGGGGAGAGGTGGAAATCACAAGGTAAAGATGACTTGTGATGCACACATCAAGCTTCTCCTGTTTCAGCACTGGTGAGCCCTATTATGGCTTCAAATCATCCACTACTTCGGAAGTATTATGATATGTTCATGGATAGTCTCTCTACATACAAGCAGGGCCTTCCTTGATCTGGATTGGGGAGGGAATATTAATTCTGGATTAGATTGTATCTTAGTGATTAATTATATAAGATTCAACGCGTTCCTTATTAAGGAATTAACCCCGCTCAAGAATATAAATAGCGCCAGGGCGACAGTGTATCTGAATAGAATGGCTTCCCTGAAAACAACTGTTTTTTATGTGTCTATAACATACGCATTGCTTATACCAATAGGAGTTGTATCCATTAAGTGTCCCTCTCTTCATTTTATAAATCCTGTAAGAATATTTGCAGATGTACTGTGTAGATACAACTGGTGCTGATACTTAAAAGTGTATACTTCTCTGGAGGAATACGATAACTCAGGAGCTCTGTAATAATGGCATCGGGAATGGGGGGTGCCCATATCCACAGATAATATGATGAGGCGCCGTACCATACCAAATGCCGGATTTTCTTTGTGTTAACAGTAGTACCCGTAGTTAGGAGTAGGCATCCCCAGAATAGTGATTTAACAGATGTATGCAACATTGCAGCCTATTGAAGTACTTAGCAACAGGGAAATCATGTGAAATCTTCAATTGAGCATAGGAAACCGTTACATCATATCGCTGGTTTCCCAGCGGAGTAAAATATGAATTAAAGGGTGGAATGACTTCGAGACCATTAGAAAATGCGAAACTAACAACACGATCCCGTAAGAATAGAAGAAGGAGATCCTGATTTTGTTCACGGTAAAGGCTGTTAAGGGAGGGATGACATCAGCAGGAATCCTCCTGAAGCCA